CACACACTCACACACACACACACACACACTCACTCTCACACACACACACACACATTAATTAATAAAGAATACATTATTATGTTAAATGTACTTTTCCTGTCTTTCAGATGTTGATGAGTGTCTCCAGGGCGACCCGGGGCCTTGCGGTTACCATGCCAACTGCACAAACACACCTGGATCCTACCTGTGCAGCTGTTTCCGTGGTTACCTGATGAGTGCGGAAGGATGTAAAGGTGTGCATGAGAAACTCAATACAAGTACATGATATAAACACAAGCTCCTGTGAAACACACTTAAACATGTCAACGGACTAACTTTAACTTTCTCAGCGAGATTCTTCAAATTAAAAGAGAAAATGAACTATGAACAGCAGATACAATTCACTCAAAAATTAACATTACTTAAAAACTCAGGTCATCCAAGATGCAGATGAGTTTGTTTCTTCATCAGATTTGGAGAAATGTAGCATTGCATCACTTGCTCAGCAATGGATGCTCTGCAGTGAATGGGTGCCGTCAGAATGAGAGTCTGATAAAAACATCACAATAATCCACAAGTAATCCACAGCACTCCAGCCCATCAGTTAACATCTGGAGAAGACAAAAGCTGAAACAAATCCAGCATTAAAACGTTTTTAACTTCAAACCGTTGCTTCCGGGCCGGCTAAAATACGACTCTTATTCTGACGGCACCCATTCACTGCAGAGCATCCATTGCTGAGCAAGTGATGCAATGCTACATTTCTACAAATCTGATGAAGAAACAAACTCATCTGCATCTGGGATGCCCTAAGAATGAGTACATTTTCAGGCAATTTTCATTTTTGGGTGAACTGTACCTTTTACATAAGCCGTATTCTTCGTTTGCAGCTAGGTTTATGAGTTTAAAACACTGTGACTAGTTGTCTTGTGTAGTTAGTTATTGTGTGTGTTGTGTGTGTGTTGTAGATGTAGATGAGTGTGTGTTAGCTGTAGTAACAGGTCTGCAGGCGTGTGGAAGTGGAGCCGTGTGTTCAAACAAACCGGGATCTTTCACCTGCTCGTGTCCGGCGGGATTCGTGCTGGCGCTCGACGGACACAACTGTGTCGGTGCGTTCAGTGTGTGTGTGTTTCATTTAGAGATGGTCAAACTAATTGATTAGTCATCCAATCAGAGTTATTATAGTATAATTTTAGTTTTTTTTATTAATGTTTTGAATTAGTTTTTATATTTTCTGTATTATTATTCATTTGTGCGTGTTTTGTTAGTTTTTATTAATAATTAGTTTTTATTTTTTTATATTTTCTGTTTTCATATTAGTGAAAGTTTTAGTAATCTATAGTGTGTTTCTGTCATTTTATTAGTTTTTTTTCTCTATATGTCTATATGGTTTTTATTTAAGTTTAGTTTTTGTAATTTTAGTACATCTAGTTGAGAAATGTTTTCTTGGCAGCTAGCTGAAACAAAATAATTTAAAGACTTTCTTTATATTTTATCTTATTTTATAAATGTTTATATTTTCTGTTTACGTTTGAAATGAAAATTCAGGTATATTATAGATTTATAAAAGTGTATTAGATCTTATTGTGATATTATTATTATTATTATTATTCAGTGCATATGGTCAATTTTTTTTGTTTATTAATAATTTTGAATTAGTTTATATTTTTATATTTTCTGTTTTCATTTTAGTTTTAGTAATTTTGTTTTTGTTTTGTGTTTGTGTGTACATAGATTTTATTCATTTTAAGTTTGTGTTTAAATTATTTTAGTACATTTAGTTAATCTATGAAAATGAGAAATGTGTCCTTGGCAACTAGCTGAAATAAAATCAGTTAAATTATTTAAATTATTTTGTTTTATTTTATTTTAATTTATTTTATATTTTTTTGTATTTTCTGTTTTCATTTAAGTTTTAAAGTCAGCATGAAGTGAAAATTCACCTGATTTTCTAAATGCATATTATTATTATTTTTAATTTTAGTCTTTTTTAATATGTAAAAAATGTGTAGTTTTTGGTTTAGTTATTTTAGTACATCAAAATAAACTAAATGAAATGAGAAATATTTTCTTGGCAACTAGCTGAAATAAAATAAAGTTATTTTATTTTATTTTTTATATTTTCTGTTTTTATTTCAGTTTTAAAGTTGACATGAAATGAAAATTCACCCTTATTTGTTGAATATCTGTCAGTTCTTCTGCACGTTACAAGTGAGCTGATTATGGATAAGAGTCAGGTGAATGTTTAAACGCTCTTCTGTGTCTCTGCAGATGTTGACGAGTGTAATTTCGAGGAGAGGTGCCGCAGGGAGCTGGGTAACGTGTGTGTGAATACAGACGGCAGCTACACGTGTGTGTGTCAGGCTGGATTCAGAGAGCACAGAGCCGCGTGTGTGGGTACGAGTCTGTCTGTATGTCTGTCTGTCTGTGTGTGTGTGTGTGTGTGTGTGTGTGTGTGTGTGTGTCT